CTTTCCACGAGACCGTTACCTTCTGGGTGATATGCAGTGGTGTGTGTCTTCTTGATTCCCAATAGCCGGCATATCTCAGTAATGAGGTGGTTTTCAAAGGATGGACCTTGGTCTGAGTGGAGTGAAACCGGGGCACCATAACGGGCGACCCAATGATCGATGAAAGCTCGGGCGACAGTAAGGGCGTCCTGCTGTGGAAGGGGTACAGCTTCGCACCATTTAGTGAAGTAATCCACCATAACCAGTATGTAGCGGTTCCCGTTTTTTGTCATAGTCAATGGTCCCATGATGTCTATGCCAACTCGCTGGTGTGGTCCTGTCGTTACCATCGGCGTCATTGGTGCACGGGGTGTCTGCTGGGGCGATTTAAAACGGCAGCACGTGTTACAATTCTTGCAAAACTGAGCCACATCTTCGTGTATGGATGGCCACCAAAAGCGTTGACGGACAGCGTGTTCAGTTCTACGTTCTCCCGCATGACCAAGTTCGCGGTGTACCTGTTCCACAATGCTCTCAACTTTCACTCGCGGTACTATCAGTAGGGGTTGTTTTGATTCATTCATTAGGAATAATGTGTCACCATATAGTTTGAGGTTGCCCCATTTGCTGCAAATACGACGAGTTGTTACGGATTGATCTTTAAGCTCCCTCATGGATGGCTTACTATTTCCATGTAGCTGTCTTTGATAAACAATCTGTAAGTCTGGATCTGTTGCTTGTAGGGAGGGCCAGTCTGTCTCCGGGGCTGTACTAAGAATTGCGTTAATAATATCCGTGGTCTGGGGTATTCGGGAGAGAGCATCCGCGTTTGCATGTCGATTTCCCGGTCGATACTCGCATGTGAAATCGAACTCTTGTAGTCGTTCCTGCCAGCGTGCCACTTGCCCTTCTGGTTCGCGGAAAGAGCGGAGCCACTGTAGTGCACGGTGATCCGTGCGCACACGAAAGGGTTTACCCAGAAGATAATGGCGGAAATGTTGTAAGAATTTTACTAGTGCTAACATCTCCCGACGTGTTGTAGAATATCGTGCTTCACTCTTATCTAGTCGTCGACTAGCATACGCAATGACCCTTTCGTGTCCATCTCGATCTACTTGTGATAAAACTGCTCCAATAGCAGAGGAACTAGCATCCGTATCCAGTATAAATTCGCCTCCGTCTGCTGAAGTATCTGGAAAGGCTAATATAGGTGGAGAAGTTAACCGAGCCTTCAAAGCATCGAACGCCTGTTGACACTCGCTGGTCCATAAAAATTTTCGTCCTTTGTGGGTTAATCGGTGTAAAGGTGCTGCTAATGATGCGAAATCACGTACGAAGCGTCTATAGTAAGAAGCTAATCCAAGGAAGCTACGAACGTCTTCGGGTGATTTTGGTTGCGGCCAATTAACAATTACACGTGTCTTTTCTTTATCTGTTGCCACTCCATCTTCCGTAATGCGGTGCCCTAAAAAGAGCACTTCTTTTTGCAACAGTCGACATTTAGATGGTTTCACTTTTAGGTTATGCTGCCTAATACGTTGTAGGACTGCCTTCAAATTGGCATTATGTTGTTCTGGCGTGCTGCCATATACAATAATATCATCAAGGTAGATTAAGCACTGGTGCGGTACGAGACCTTGCAGAACTGTCTGCATCAATCGTTGGAAGGTGGCTGGGGCGTTAGTTAGCCCGAAAGGCATTACTTGAAATTCATATAAGCCATTAGGCACTACAAATGCAGTTTTTTTTCTATCTTGAGGTCGAACTTCCACTTGCCAATACCCTGATGCTAAGTCTAGCGTTGAGAACCAGCGAGCACCTTTCATGGCATCTAAGGTAGCGTCTATCCGTGGAAGTGGAAAAGAGTCACGCTTAGTTATAGCATTAAGGCGTCGGTAATCTACACACAGTCGTAGGGAGGAATCCTTCTTTTTTACTAAGACAATTGGCGATGCCCAGGGTGACGAAGATGGTACAATAATCTTTTTTTCTAGCATATCTTTTATCATTGATTCTAAATGAGGCTGATAATGCACCGGGACTCTACGAGGTGGTTGGCGTAATGGCATGTGGTCACCTGTAACAATGGAATGTTGCACAATGGTTGTTCGATTTCCAGAGATATTCTCCGAGAAAACAGAGCTAAATCGTTGGAGTACGTCAATGGTGGCTCGACGGTCCTTTTCACTTATTACTTGGTTATCTTGTACCTGACGTACAATCTCTGCAATTTCCACCTGGGCTACGGTTTCGGTTGGCATTTCCTGGCGTTGTAGTTGCACGACAACCCCGCCAATTTTAGCTTCCGACTTATTCATGTCTATAGAGGCCTGATACCTTAACATGAAGTCAACCCCGAGAATCATGTTCCAGGTCAGTGTGGGGCAGACCAGGAATTCATGTCGAAAAGAGCTCTTGTTTATTGTGATCTCTAACCCGATCTTAGAACACGCAATCAAGGGGTCTCCGCTCGCCGTGATTAATGTGGAGGAGCACTGTTTACGCTGAGTGCTGTTGTTAAGTCTCTGCAAGAAATCTTCCTTAATGAGGGATACTGAAGCCCCTGTGTCTAGAAGTATATCCAGCTCGATGTCTTGTACTCTACCTTTAAATGTAGTTGGATGGACATGATTAACATAGGAAGATAAGTAACCAAAACGCCGCTTACCTGGTTTACGGGGGCGATTGTGACCACATCTTCTGGCGTTCCTGCCAAACCGTTTGCAATATATACAGCCAGCCTGACGCCCATTGTAGTTTCCCCATGCTGGTTGTTTATTCCACCTCGAATTAGACTGTCTGTGGATAACACCTCGGCCGGGAAGGTCGGTCACAGCCACTGTAGTCTGGCAGGTGTCCGGGCCACTAGGTTTTGTAGCTCGTTCAACCGTCGTTACTGATGATGAATGTGCACTGGCTGAATTCACTAATTTGTCAGCGGCCAGGAAACGTAATGTTGTTCTTTTTACTTCAGATGTATCAGCTGGCGGATTTCGAAGAAAATGTTCTTTGAGTGGTCCAGGTAACAGACCCTCGACAAAACGTGAGCGTATTAGTTCCTCTCGTCCTATCATATCTAACCGAGGGAATGCCTGCACTGCGACTTGCTGCAGGGAATGGAGATAGTCTATTGGGTTCTCGCTCGCTTTCTGATGGCGTGATAAGAACTGAATTGTCATCTGCTGAGTGTCTACAGGCATGGAAAAACAGTCATCTAGAATTCTCCAGTTTTGTGAGAGGGTGTTACTGGCCGCAAAACCATTCGCAATAGCCCTGCGTACTGCTTCATCGCTCAGATAGGAAACGAGGTAGTTGAAATGCTCGGTCAATGGGACTCTCTGAAGGTAGGCTGTGACTTTAAATTTCCAAACGGAGTAATCTGATGATGTTTCGAGCAGTGGCGGCTGGCGTGGGGTTGAACCGGGAGCAGCCCTGATTGGGATCAGAGGGGGTTCGTCTAGGTTCTCATCGCGTTTTTCCGTCTGCACCACCATCACCAGTTGTAACACGTGTAATCAGCAGCCACCGGAAGGCGGGAAGACCTAAAGCCACAACACACACAATGTTAACTGAACACTTCACACCACAGAGAGAACGCGGAACGAAGACCAACAGTCGTTTATTTTAAAATTAAATTTCGCGGGTTCTGTACAGAAAGAGAGCTAGTTTACAAAACGGTCTTATGAGTCGTCCTGTAAGTTTAGTGCGTGCAGGGCTTGCTCTTCTTCTTCTAAGGCGTTTATTCTTGCTTGCTCTGCAATAGAAAGAAAACAAAATCTATTAGCAACATCATACATGATGATTTTAATCCCGTTACATCGTCCCCTCTCCTAATGAGGCACTGTCCTCAGTGCCTGGTCTTGGGCACGGGTATGCTGTCCCTCCTTCAGATGGTACTTCGTAAAATCTAGTGGCCGGCGGTGGATCAGCGAGTTGAGCGTCGAAGGGAAATGTCGTCCGATCGGGTTTTATCTGGTTGTAGTGCACCGTTATCACGTCGTCTTTAGGTCGTTGTATATTACGCAATACAAACGTGGTGGGGGATCGGATGAGGACAATTTCAAAGGGGCCTTGCCAGGGCTGATGGAATTTACTGCAACCCCCTAGTGATGTCATTGGGCGGCGTAACCATACGCGATCTCCAACTGTATACCTAGGTCCTTGTGCTTGACGATCATATATATCTTTTTGGTGTCCACTAGCCTTGCATAAGTTAATGTTGACCAGACGGTATGCATCAGCTAGTCGATTGCGAAGAGTACGTATGTACGGAACATGCTCTTGTTCTTCGTAGGGCAGTAGGGGTGACTGTATCTCTACTGGTAAGCGTAATTCGTGCCCAAACAGCAAAATAGCAGGCGAGAACCCCGTGGACCCATGTACTGACGTACGGTATGCTAAAAGGCATTGGGGAAGCACCTCATCCCACAACTCAGGTGACGATCTGCTGACAAACGACTGCAAGATGGCTTTAATGGTTCTGTTTGTTCTTTCCACGAGACCGTTACCTTCTGGGTGATATGCAGTGGTGTGTGTCTTCTTGATTCCCAATAGCCGGCATATCTCAGTAATGAGGTGGTTTTCAAAGGATGGACCTTGGTCTGAGTGGAGTGAAACCGGGGCACCATAACGGGCGACCCAATGATCGATGAAAGCTCGGGCGACAGTAAGGGCGTCCTGCTGTGGAAGGGGTACAGCTTCGCACCATTTAGTGAAGTAATCCACCATAACCAGTATGTAGCGGTTCCCGTTTTTTGTCATAGTCAATGGTCCCATGATGTCTATGCCAACTCGCTGGTGTGGTCCTGTCGTTACCATCGGCGTCATTGGTGCACGGGGTGTCTGCTGGGGCGATTTAAAACGGCAGCACGTGTTACAATTCTTGCAAAACTGAGCCACATCTTCGTGTATGGATGGCCACCAAAAGCGTTGACGGACAGCGTGTTCAGTTCTACGTTCTCCCGCATGACCAAGTTCGCGGTGTACCTGTTCCACAATGCTCTCAACTTTCACTCGCGGTACTATCAGTAGGGGTTGTTTTGATTCATTCATTAGGAATAATGTGTCACCATATAGTTTGAGGTTGCCCCATTTGCTGCAAATACGACGAGTTGTTACGGATTGATCTTTAAGCTCCCTCATGGATGGCTTACTATTTCCATGTAGCTGTCTTTGATAAACAATCTGTAAGTCTGGATCTGTTGCTTGTAGGGAGGGCCAGTCTGTCTCCGGGGCTGTACTAAGAATTGCGTTAATAATATCCGTGGTCTGGGGTATTCGGGAGAGAGCATCCGCGTTTGCATGTCGATTTCCCGGTCGATACTCGCATGTGAAATCGAACTCTTGTAGTCGTTCCTGCCAGCGTGCCACTTGCCCTTCTGGTTCGCGGAAAGAGCGGAGCCACTGTAGTGCACGGTGATCCGTGCGCACACGAAAGGGTTTACCCAGAAGATAATGGCGGAAATGTTGTAAGAATTTTACTAGTGCTAACATCTCCCGACGTGTTGTAGAATATCGTGCTTCACTCTTATCTAGTCGTCGACTAGCATACGCAATGACCCTTTCGTGTCCATCTCGATCTACTTGTGATAAAACTGCTCCAATAGCAGAGGAACTAGCATCCGTATCCAGTATAAATTCGCCTCCGTCTGCTGAAGTATCTGGAAAGGCTAATATAGGTGGAGAAGTTAACCGAGCCTTCAAAGCATCGAACGCCTGTTGACACTCGCTGGTCCATAAAAATTTTCGTCCTTTGTGGGTTAATCGGTGTAAAGGTGCTGCTAATGATGCGAAATCACGTACGAAGCGTCTATAGTAAGAAGCTAATCCAAGGAAGCTACGAACGTCTTCGGGTGATTTTGGTTGCGGCCAATTAACAATTACACGTGTCTTTTCTTTATCTGTTGCCACTCCATCTTCCGTAATGCGGTGCCCTAAAAAGAGCACTTCTTTTTGCAACAGTCGACATTTAGATGGTTTCACTTTTAGGTTATGCTGCCTAATACGTTGTAGGACTGCCTTCAAATTGGCATTATGTTGTTCTGGCGTGCTGCCATATACAATAATATCATCAAGGTAGATTAAGCACTGGTGCGGTACGAGACCTTGCAGAACTGTCTGCATCAATCGTTGGAAGGTGGCTGGGGCGTTAGTTAGCCCGAAAGGCATTACTTGAAATTCATATAAGCCATTAGGCACTACAAATGCAGTTTTTTTTCTATCTTGGGGTCGAACTTCCACTTGCCAATACCCTGATGCTAAGTCTAGCGTTGAGAACCAGCGAGCACCTTTCATGGCATCTAAGGTAGCGTCTATCCGTGGAAGTGGAAAAGAGTCACGCTTAGTTATAGCATTAAGGCGTCGGTAATCTACACACAGTCGTAGGGAGGAATCCTTCTTTTTTACTAAGACAATTGGCGATGCCCAGGGTGACGAAGATGGTACAATAATCTTTTTTTCTAGCATATCTTTTATCATTGATTCTAAATGAGGCTGATAATGCACCGGGACTCTACGAGGTGGTTGGCGTAATGGCATGTGGTCACCTGTAACAATGGAATGTTGCACAATGGTTGTTCGATTTCCAGAGATATTCTCCGAGAAAACAGAGCTAAATCGTTGGAGTACGTCAATGGTGGCTCGACGGTCCTTTTCACTTATTACTTGGTTATCTTGTACCTGACGTACAATCTCTGCAATTTCCACCTGGGCTACGGTTTCGGTTGGCATTTCCTGGCGTTGTAGTTGCACGACAACCCCGCCAATTTTAGCTTCCGACTTATTCATGTCTATAGAGGCCTGATACCTTAACATGAAGTCAACCCCGAGAATCATGTTCCAGGTCAGTGTGGGGCAGACCAGGAATTCATGTCGAAAAGAGCTCTTGTTTATTGTGATCTCTAACCCGATCTTAGAACACGCAATCAAGGGGTCTCCGCTCGCCGTGATTAATGTGGAGGAGCACTGTTTACGCTGAGTGCTGTTGTTAAGTCTCTGCAAGAAATCTTCCTTAATGAGGGATACTGAAGCCCCTGTGTCTAGAAGTATATCCAGCTCGATGTCTTGTACTCTACCTTTAAATGTAGTTGGATGGACATGATTAACATAGGAAGATAAGTAACCAAAACGCCGCTTACCTGGTTTACGGGGGCGATTGTGACCACATCTTCTGGCGTTCCTGCCAAACCGTTTGCAATATATACAGCCAGCCTGACGCCCATTGTAGTTTCCCCATGCTGGTTGTTTATTCCACCTCGAATTAGACTGTCTGTGGATAACACCTCGGCCGGGAAGGTCGGTCACAGCCACTGTAGTCTGGCAGGTGTCCGGGCCACTAGGTTTTGTAGCTCGTTCAACCGTCGTTACTGATGATGAATGTGCACTGGCTGAATTCACTAATTTGTCAGCGGCCAGGAAACGTAATGTTGTTCTTTTTACTTCAGATGTATCAGCTGGCGGATTTCGAAGAAAATGTTCTTTGAGTGGTCCAGGTAACAGACCCTCGACAAAACGTGAGCGTATTAGTTCCTCTCGTCCTATCATATCTAACCGAGGGAATGCCTGCACTGCGACTTGCTGCAGGGAATGGAGATAGTCTATTGGGTTCTCGCTCGCTTTCTGATGGCGTGATAAGAACTGAATTGTCATCTGCTGAGTGTCTACAGGCATGGAAAAACAGTCATCTAGAATTCTCCAGTTTTGTGAGAGGGTGTTACTGGCCGCAAAACCATTCGCAATAGCCCTGCGTACTGCTTCATCGCTCAGATAGGAAACGAGGTAGTTGAAATGCTCGGTCAATGGGACTCTCTGAAGGTAGGCTGTGACTTTAAATTTCCAAACGGAGTAATCTGATGATGTTTCGAGCAGTGGCGGCTGGCGTGGGGTTGAACCGGGAGCAGCCCTGATTGGGATCAGAGGGGGTTCGTCTAGGTTCTCATCGCGTTTTTCCGTCTGCACCACCATCACCAGTTGTAACACGTGTAATCAGCAGCCACCGGAAGGCGGGAAGACCTAAAGCCACAACACACACAATGTTAACTGAACACTTCACACCACAGAGAGAACGCGGAACGAAGACCAACAGTCGTTTATTTTAAAATTAAATTTCGCGGGTTCTGTACAGAAAGAGAGCTAGTTTACAAAACGGTCTTATGAGTCGTCCTGTAAGTTTAGTGCGTGCAGGGCTTGCTCTTCTTCTTCTAAGGCGTTTATTCTTGCTTGCTCTGCAATAGAAAGAAAACAAAATCTATTAGCAACATCATACATGATGATTTTAATCCCGTTACAACGTACCTGGTTAGAAAAGGCGGTTGTCACATTCCCAAGGTCACACATTTGAACGGGTTTGACAATGAGTCCAACTTCTAGCAAGTTTACACTTTCACATTTATACATTATAAAAAAGGATTTTATTTATTTTCATACCTTTTCGTACACAAGATGGCTACACTATGTCTATTTTCTTCCAGAATACCAATCCGTTCTGGAGGCCAATCACTTACGTGGAACCGAACAATTATCAATTATGTTTATGTATTTACATTTTGTATCTTATTATTTTGATGCAGGCAGTGGAGCGGTTCTTTAGGTTTGATTGGTTTTCACCATTAACTTTGAAGTAGATTCTTCTTTACTTTTTACTTGAGGGCGACTCAAGAGGCAGGTGAGTAAACACCTGATAGCCGGTCTGAGCATGGAAAAATCGTACCTCACCAACATGGTGTTGGGTAGCCCGCTCGCGGCACTTCCTCAGATATTCTTATTCCACAGTTTAACACTCTTTCTCATGAAAGCACTCAGTAAACCGTCAGCTATAGTTGTAGAAGAAATCACATGCTACTAAATAAGATGACAAGCTAGTAAATGAAGAGACATCCATGGACTACCGTTGTCAGCGTTAGTTGCCACTTATTGTAAGTCAAACATTGAGTGAGTTGATAACTTTCCCTTGGAATGAGAAATAGAACTAAGGTGTTTTTGATAGATAGGTTAATCGAACCGACGTTCCTACGGAAGTCGATTCTAGGGGGAAGCTAATGTAACAGCATAGGTTGGTTGGTTAAGAGTTGACCCCAAACAACCAAGCATATGCCAAAACAGTATTGTTCAAGTATTCATTCACTTCCTTATTTTGTATAAGCGTTATATTCCTTATTATCTTATATTGAATGCTGAAAGCCTTTGTTTGTCTGAACAGATAATCCCACGCTCCACTGTGACTGCGCTAAGATCGAAATAAAGATTTCATTCAATTAGTGTCTGACTTCTTCTATCAATAACACGAGGGTTACCTATAGGCACGAAAGATTAAGACGAGTTTATGAACATCATTAAAGTAGATCTATCGTCTACAACGGTGGCTTATGGTATTTTAAATACTTTAAGTCTCGTCTGCGACAAACAGTGTCTAACAACGTTGCGAATGTTTTAACGAGTATATATGGCATTCAAAATACAATGTACGTGGCAATACAACAGATCTAGGACGGAGAGAAGGAGGTATCGTATTCCAGAGGAGTTCATTCCAAAAGATGATTACGGATAAAGAATTCTCCATAGTGATCTGAAGATATATGCAACGTGGTGTACACGAATTTTACCTAATGAATATTTAAATACGAATAAGTAAATATTACGAATAGCCAACAGCTGCATGGTAAAATGTAAAGAGTCATACTAATCCAGGAATAGCTTCGCCACCCAAAAAATGCAGGACTATCACAGATTTAATAGCCCCAAAGGGAACATTTAACTACTTGAAACGATCGTCTTTCCTAGCATTAAGGAAATCAAATATCTATCCCACTATATACAGAATAATAGAAACAAACCAAAGCGAATCAATTAGCGAAACGGTCACTCAATCTGATAGGCTCGACTTAATTGAAATATTAAGGAAAAAAGGAATGAAACAGCATTCAAGGTATTAGCGTTATCCAATAGATGGCAATACTTCAGGAGTTTGGGACACTATAGAGATAATATTTTTAAATGTACCAAAAGAGAGATAACATATGTGTAGATAAAGTTAACAACAAAAGAGACGATTCGCATCATGACGGAACATAATGATGGTCGAAGAGGATGACATAGAGAGAGGGACTATCACATATTCTTATAGGTACATCGTGTCGTTATTACGTCTTTCAGGGTGTATAAAAGCTCAAGTGTTAGTTTTCGTATTTACCTTAGTCTTAGAACGTTTTAATTCATGAAATATAATTTTAGTACAGAAAGAAATGGTGACATACTTGACGGATATATCGTGAAATTGGGCCCTAACTACACAATCATCAAAGCTGAACGCGAGACAACTGTGAAAATACATATTCAACATTTAAAGTGGAGGAAAACACAACGATGAAGAAGGCGGGAACAAGGGATTGAATTAGTTTGAATCCATCGGATGGCATAGCTCGGCCTTGCAGGCGTGTTCATTATTGAGTGTTAACATATACCTTTTATTCATAGTAAATATATTGTTCTATCTCCAGCCTCGATGTGTTCTCCATCATATACTGATGACTGTTACGACACGATGAGTTGGTGTAGATAATAATGTGACTTCTACGTAAGATCTTATAAATTGAACAGCTACATCATGAAAAATCCACAATTTTAGGATTAGTTCTGTTATAATCCCTTTTTCTTACGGTTATGACCCAGCTATTCCTATTACTTAGTATTCCCCAAATCAGAACACGGTTGAACAGGAAAGAGATTATATTCCAAATAACAAAGATAGATGGAAGAAGGAAGCACAATAGAGAAAACGTTAGTATATTTATAGTCTTCACATGAGAAGGTTCTAGAGTATTCTCCAACTATCGACTAATGCTGGTTGGACAAGAATTAGCCAATCAGCGTGCAGTGAGCATGCTTTAATCCAGTCTATGTCCCGCTAACAAGGTCTATTATTATAGCAGTACTAATAACGAAGTAGACTATAATTCTACAGATACAACCTCCATATTTTCGAGGGAGGACGATGATTCCTTAATAAAGCTTGAAATCATTTGCTAAAAATTTAACGAATTATTTAATGAATTATTTAAAACCTTGTCATCTCAAACAAAAAATGACATATCCTTTGGTTTACATGCATGTCTACTCAGAAGAGAAGTCGGACTATTGACCTAACAGATAGTTCTAAGTGTACAAACCTCTATTTTACGTCATCCTGATAGATTCTGAAGTTTCCCTTCGTATTACGATAAAAATTCTTTGAAAGAGTACGTTTGAGTGGTGGTACATAATCTGTAGATGTAAATTTTCATGTATCTTATAAATAATTTTTTGTAACATCAAGAACTAATGTATTCAAATGTATATATTTATAACTAACTGCATTTCGCTTATTCGTACTTTTCTGAAGGTTGAGTAACCACAAAATGTGCCACCCAACCAGAAAATTGTGCATCTAGACGTCTGAAATTCAAAAGGAAGTATATTTCGGTATTTAACTAATAGAGAAAATTTTCAGCTTAAGCAAATCTCTCAGGCCCTCTTCAGTCGTTTGAGAATTTAGCTATTGACCACTCGCTTTGCTGCAACAGACAGATCCAGAACTCAATTACCTGTCATGGTGTTTCTGTGGCTCATTGATGTGAAATCATACAGGAGAAATGTTTAGTTTGATAGGAGTCAGACACGAGCTGAAAAGTACCTTAAGATTTGGAATCACGAACGCATCCACCTAATTACAGAGTGGATCGATTAGGATTTAAAAGGTTCAGTTTGTAAACGATTGCAAAGTCTTACTATTTCTGGTATACTGACGTTTAAAATGTTGTAAATGATTCTCTTCCATTTACTGAGAGTTTAGATGTACCAACGTAAAATGCTTTCTATTTAGGTGCCGAATTGACAACTTTTTCTGTGGGTGAAAGTCCCTCATGTAAACATCTAGAATGATTTTTTTATTTTCGCTCTACATGTAACATTACATCTCTTGGTTTCCCATATAACGTTTACCATGTTTATCTTTGATCCAAATAAGATTATATCAGCTCTTTTTTATTTATTATTTTAGTTTTAATCTTAAGTTTACTATTATACCGTGTTTAGGCTTGTGTGAAAACGGCCGGTACTCGATAAAAAAAAATAACTCTCCAAACACCTTTATTAACCAATTCAAGAGAAAAATCACTCAAAATGTATATGTCTTGGTCGCGAACACAAGCTCTAATCCCATATACATGATGGGAATAGTTTGGCAAAGAGAAACAATAATGTCTGTAAGTTGATGGCAACGTTGAACTACATTTGTGCAACCATTTGGTATCCCCTACCACTGTTTTAATTCCAGATATGATATTCGTGTCATCACACACGGAACTTAACGCAATTAAATACGACCGAAATTGATGCATTAATGCTTAAAAGCAAAAATTTGGCACATACAAAGGAAGCCAATAGTGACGATGCTGTGACTCTCTCAACTTGTCTCATTAGTTCAGTGTCTTGGTTTGCGTTCTACTAGGCTGCTGACCTTGTTTGTAGCAATATCGGTCCATCATGGTTGACTGTCTTCACTTAAGCGATCGGATTTTCCTATAGCTAACGGATAAGATTATGTGATATATGCATCACGGACATACTTCTTCATTAATGAGTGACTACTTTCATGTCCTTCGACTGTTTGTTTACCTGACACATTGGAGACTTTTACAAAGTTTTTGGGATAGCTTCTTGTTTACATGGTCTAGTAGCACTAACTACTCACTCATCACATATAATTTATATTTGTCAGCATGTTAAATTGGGACGTAGATATAACCCTCCGGTAGTGTTTTTGTTAACCGTCTTGTGAAATAATCAATTACTTACGCCGTATGCTCCTCGTAGAGAAATCAGTAGTCGCCATTCAACTATGTTCTGCGCAATCCTTTCCAGTTGTTTCCAGCTACTATTCATCCATTCAACGTATGCTTCGAATTCCCGATGTAGTGTGTTCTTTGGTTCATCTATCCTAGAGCTCCTCCGATTAGTATTCTTGGGTTGGTTCTCTCCTTGTATTTGAAGACCTTAGTCCTGCCGTTGTGTACGTGAAGGTCGACTGATGCAGAGGCTGCTGCATTTGTTCGTGTGTTTAGGATAGAAGAGCTAGTTTATTGCGAAATCTATATCGTTTAGTTGAACCCAACCTGTCCATTGTATTCTGTGATTCTCCTAAGATATAGATGCCTTGAAAATTCAGTCAACCACCAGAAGAACGAGAAAGCGAGAGCAAACATCGTTGTCTGACCCCGATCCTCACTTGGGGTGCATCTATGTTCTGTCCTCCATGCATCACTTTGCACTTTATTTTGTCGTGTGAATCCCGTACGTTCTTAACGATCTTCTCAGTTACCTCATAATGTCGAAGAAGGTTTCTAAAAGTTCTCCAATCCACACTGTCAAACACCTTCTCATAATCAAGGAATTTGATGTATAGTGAGGAATTCTATTCAGCTGATCGCTCAACAATGGTCCGTAGTGTTTGGACTTGGTTTGTGCACGGCCGATTCTCACAGAATCCAACCCGCTGATCTTGGAGTTGAGCGTCTACTGGATCTTTTTCCGGTACGACCACTCTGTTGGAACATTTTCCTAGCTTTGATAGTAGTGTGATTCTTCTGTAGTTCTCATATTTGCTTAGATCTCCTCTCATTGACATATTGGTGATGAACCTTCATTTTCAATCTGTTGGCACTTGTTCCTCATCCCAAATCTTCCTGAAAAGAACTCGGAACAGGTTTGCACTGTCGCATCTGTGTCTGACGTTAGTACTGCAGCTGGTATCTGTCAGGTCCTGCTGCTTTTCCACTTTTGAATTGTCTGATGGTCATCCTGGCTTTGTCGATCGTTGGTGCACCAACGATTTCACTCCATGGAGTAACATATAAAGTGTTTTGGTCCTAATCACACAATCCTCAAAGGTGAAAATGAGGTAGCTGGGAAAATGCATATTCAGCAAGTAATATGAGGAGAAATTCAACAATGATGGAGGCGGGGAGAGTTACTTAATTCAATCGGATGGCACCGCCGAGCCTCAAAGACGTGGTCATTCTGTATAACCTTTGATTAATTTTTTGATTGAGATCATCAACCAATTGATGTGACCTAAGTTGTCTTGCGATAGTTGTAAGATGCAGAAAAGTACAAACTGTGCTTCACGAGGTTCATGAATAGTCAGATGTACAGACCCTTCGATCGTTTTTATGTTGTTTTAAAACGCACATAAGGCCATAATTTGTAAATAACAATGCCGGTCAAACTTCTAAGCTGGAAACAGATGAAAATCTTTGCAGTAAAGTGTGACGATATACAACATAAAAGCTTTTCAAGCAGCGGAAAAAATCATAAGATAATCGGTTTTTCATTCTGAAGTCGTTTTTCGTTAGCAACAGAAGAATGATCAGGGATTCCGCAGGCTAAATCACATTCTAGCCAACCTACATTATGCCTAGGGTTGTGTTGTATCTTGCTATTGGGCTTCAGTACGGCCTACCATTTTACGGACATAGAAACGGAAACAATCGATCTACTCTTATACGATCGGTTCTCTTCAGTATTGTCAACAGTAAATTATATTCGACAAGTCAAACCTTGGCGGATAAGACAGAAGGAAGACGGATTTGCAGTTAACTTGATGTTCGTGGTAAAACAAACAAATCAAACAAAATCAGAACAAAATTTGTAATCATAGTAGCATATTATGACTTTCGAGCATACAACAATTTGGCAAACTAAAAATGCACGACAACCAGTCAGAGGGCAGAGGTCATGAGGAAGATCGAGTCGGTAGAAAGCATACTAGTGGCTGTCATTTTCGAGGGGATTTAGGTCTTTCCAATACAGTTTAACTGTTCTTGAGACCACCTTAACCGGTTGCTACGACTATAGGGCCAGTGAGCCTTAGCCAAGTCATCTGGAGGTTGAGTAATTGAATATCGAACGGTCCATTGATCCTCGTCAAGATCAAGGACAACTAACGCATATCAGTTAATTACATGCCGTGGACTGATTCACGCAGCAATGATCTCACTCTGTTCCTTGTATCTACTTTTACTAATATATTTTTGTAATAACGTCGTTCGTGCCGCACATTTATCAAAGCAGCCATCAGGCCTGGATACTATGGAGTATTAATCCACGCTAGATACTGACCGGGAGGTGTGACGTCGACGTCAGCTAGTTGTTCACACCATGCCCGTCCAACTCAAGCCGGCCCCATTCATTCAACACAGGTAATTTACGCCGATGATCTACACGACAATAAACGAGACAACAACCAAAATATTCCACATCAACAGTCAAAAACTTACTTTTGGTCTGAGTCATATATCTAGAAGGTTTAATACACAATGTAACCTCTGTCTACACAATAAACTGATTTAATAATAATATAAAAACACAAACCCTGTATTCAGTTTAAATAGTTTTGATTTGAGAAAGAGAATAAGTTATATTAAAAGTACAAAATACCTCAAATGGCGCAGCCTGCGCTACAGAATCAAGGGTTTCTCTCACGTAAAATAACGTGCTAACCAACGAAAGGAATAATTAATAAACAAGAGTTCAATACATGAAAATCAATAAAACTATTCCCAATAAGATGCGATTAGATATCTATCTGCAAAGGTTCGAGCAACCTCCTTAAGAAGACAGTCAGAGGTTGGCAGTCATACTCTGAACCGCACTATGACATTCGGTTTAGTCAAACACGACCTTATTGTTAATGGTCCGACGACATGTGATAGTAAATCGATTAATAAAAGGTAAATATTTAACCAGGGTCAAATAACAAAAGCCCTATCAAGAAAGACTGAGGAACATAATATGGGGTTAAAAAAGAGCCGAATTGAAGTATAAGAAATAGGACAGGGAGAACGAAATAATAAATGATATTACTGTCCAACGAAATGCTGTTGGGGTATTTTCAGCGTTTTCTTTCCGTTGCACACTGGATCTCACCGTCATATCACAAAAGACTTGACAGACCACATTCGATGTTGCAAATATTTAGAGCCGTTTTGTAACAACAAGATGAGAAACCAGCTCATCATAGATCTTTGTGCAACATCACGTTGAATGGTGGAACGTACCAACACATCTTCGTTTTTGCTACCACTCTCATATATACAAGTCACCACTCGCGGTATTAACAGTTCTCTATTATTATACAAAGATACTAGTTTGACGACGACCTCTGTTACTTCACGATCAGTTGAATCTTAGGTCCCCTACTTCGTCTTCCCTACGTCACTGAATTACCGCCATTACTTAAGTCATCGACATTATTGTTTGCGGATGGTTCCAAAATCTAGAGAACAGTAAGAAGTGAGGTTGATCATTTTGATCACCAAGTTGACCTAGACGAACTATCTAGGTGGACTCAATGTTGAGGCTTAGAAATTAATTCTAGGAGGAGTATGCTCATGCTCACTTACACAGAAATAGTTACCAGTAAGCTAATAATGGCACATCTCTTCCATGCATTCAGGAACATCAAAACTTTAGGGTAGTGTTAAGTCACGACTTGAAAACAACTACGCATTGCAACGCAGCAGGTGCCAAAGGTTTTCGTGGGTTATAGTTACTTCACCAAACATTCAAATGCTTCAAATATTTCGAATTTTATATCACATCTATGTACGACCAGACTTAGCGCACCATATCTAAGCGGCTGGCCCATGTCTGATTAAGGACACTAACACACTTGAGCGTGTTCAGCATGTGGAAAGAAAATCAGTAGAGTCCTTCTAAACTCCCTTACGCCTAAACCTTTTCCCCTTGTCATATCGTAGTACGCGAGGTGACCTTATATTGGCATTTCGTATCTTTAATTACGATTTGGGTGTTAATATTTTTTAATCTTCTTGTCTCCTCCAGCGCTAATGGTCTCCGAGGTCATAGCACAAAGGTTCACAAACTGCGATCTAACAAAGTTAAAGTGAAGTTCCTTTTTTCTCACAGAATGGTGGGTGACTGGAAAGCCTTACCCAAATAAGTGGTATTAGCCCCATCAGTGAACATCTTTAAGGAGAAGCTAAATATTCACTGGAAGTCAAACTGTCAGGATTAACACACATCCACTGACCTACTATCGTTATTACTGAAAACAGACTGAATCAAGCAATCTCAGGCGCGCGGTTTCGAAAGGTGAGTGGCAATGTTTTGTTTGTCTCTACTTTTTATATTCTGCCTAGCGACGAGCTCTAAAGTTTAGTATTACTTTGAGTGTTGCGTTCGATTTTCAGTTTTTAGCTACACTGACCGTTTACTAGAAGTTGCTATCTGTCTCTTGTCTATTTTGCAGTTGTACCTTGTGTGCGTTCATGGGCACATGCATGAGTATCCCACTCTCAATAAATGTTAACATTGAACCGCCCTTTTAAGGATAATATTTGAAGGTTGGCTAAAGTAGGTTGTCTTTTGAGTCTGATCTCCTAAAACCCATCTGAGCTCCATCCGATTACTCTGGATTTACTGAGTTGATTTTATAATCGCCACAATGTAGACCACTGAAAATACCACTTTAAGTCAAAATTTATCAAGTGAAACTTTTGACATGTCAACCTTAGCTGCAGCTAAGGTTTGTACCTTAGGTCCTTCACATTGAGGGTAACAGCACATAGCAAAAACCTGAGTGCACAACTGGATGATGAGTGGTCAAGTATTCCCATTTGTACTTTGGTGACAACTTAGTCTGGCGAGGATTGCTCTTTTTCCCGGGAACATAAGATCAATACTGACATTTTTTGACTGTTTCAGTGAATAAAAGAATACAACGACGAGGAAATAGTAAATTAAATAAGGACAGATCAAGCCATTGTAAATTAAACTTGGTTTATGATTTATGAAAGCACGACGTTAAGCGTTTTAATACCACTGTAGTTGGTCTAGGCTCATATCAAATGGAGTCCCCTACTAAAAGTTCCTATCTACTTTTGAGATTCATCACACATTTAATTATTGTGTTTGTCTTCACTTTCAAGACTTTAAAACTGCGAATACATACTTTTCCACTATGTCAACCGATTTCTGATAAGTGACAATTTAGTAACAAAAGAACAAAAACATTTGTTAAAAAACTGGTAATACTACTTGAATATTTATATGTAATTTGGGTAGTAGTCGAGAATGTATAAGTTGGGTAAAGATCAACCTCTCGAAAGCACGTTGCGTAACACGATGGGATAGTGTCGCAGTGATATGTAATTGAGAGGGGAACAGATTCTTTAGGCATATGGAATAATCTTGGTAAATGCACATTAGTGATCAGATATGAAAAGCTATGCTTCAAGTCGTTAGTAAGCATAAGTCGTTTAAAAGACACTAACCTCAAGGTTTATGCGATCACTTCTCTGGGGGTTGGAAATCTGTCCCCAGACTCTGTGATTCGCGTCATGGAATTTTTTCAGGTTTTATCAATAGGCTTATTAAACTCAAACTACTTGATAGTCAGGATCTATTGATAATACTGATTGAGAAGGAGGAAGTGGTAGTTCTAGTGGACTGGACTATTCGGATTGGCAAAATGACAATTGTCATTAGTTGGTAGCAAGTACTCACTGGTATGTGCTTTGGAAAATCCGACCAACACGCTTTTATGACATCTTGTATTTTTTTTATAAATAAGTGAATTTAATGTAATTAGATTTTATCCCCAAGCATTCTATGGGTTACTGAGTTTGAGTTACTTTTATATCTAACCCCCTGATTGTTGCAACCAAGTTATATAACTCATGATACATTGCTAATTATTCTTTGTTTGCAGATGTTATTTATTTTCTGAAGACCTGTAGTTTTACTCATCAAGTATCTTCGATAGTCACATACGTAAACGTGCAAATCATAGATGGCTGAGGACAGCAGTGGGCTCGGTTATCGACTGGAGGAAATCCAGTCAAGTATTGCAGAGGGAAGGTTAATGCTTAACGTTCTTCGTTCCCTTCCAACCACTGAGGTATTTAGAAACTGAAATTATTTGTTCAGAATAATGATGCATTCATAGTTCGTTTCGAGGATCTAATCAGTAGATTGGAAAACTATCAACTTCACAACAGAAAGAGCGAGGTTTGTTACTTTTATACGTGATTTCTGGTGGTTTAGGTGAAAGATGTAAAGTTACAGTTGAAGACACTTAAGGAGCAACAAGACAGAATTCAGTCTCTCCTTGGTCAGACAGCGACGAGTATACAGGTACATATGAGGATTTTGGTTTTATTATCCAATCACCAAAATACATTGACCATTTACATACATTTCAGTATTTGCTGTCATGCTTTTAAGTAGTGACTGCTGAATTGTGTTTATATTGTCAGCTCTTTCTAATTTTCTTGGTACATCGAATTTCTTAACCTTGTTGATTTTCCATATAAAAAGAAATCATCCGTTTACAAGGGTGCAAAAAAACTACACTCAAAAATCAATATATCTGTTTTTGAGGTACTTGTCAAACAAAACTTTGATTTCACCTCGGAAATACACTTTTAAGTCTCATCGACAGTTTCTCTGTAGTTAGCATTGTTTTACAAATGCCTCAGTTGGAAATTCCACAATACTTAGTCTAAGTTTCAAAACTACTGTGTTCAAAATATTGTTTTCATAACTATTTTGCGTCCCCATGCGGTCCGCCAGTTAGACATCAAATTTGTACTTCTCACTGCTCATTTTCATTACAATTATGGCTCTTATTCATTTAAATAAGTAAAAGTCACTACTATTTTACTGTTTTCACTGCCTTAGCGTTACTGGCACCTGGGTTTGAAGTTGTTGTCAGGGAAGTAGTTAGATTTACTTCGTTTCTTGTAAATTGTGAAGGTATAGTATTCTACTAATCTTTTGTCCAAAATATATAGGTCGGATTAAGATTGTTTGTTTCTTCTGAAAGTTTGAGCATCCTCACTATTGGACGCAGGCAGACATTTTTATTGAAGCCTCTTGTGAATTCGGTTACGGCCATGTGTTCAAAGCGTCCCTTCAGTTTCTTGTCAGTCTGGAGGTCCATTAGTTTCTTCTGAAGATGATAATTAGCCGCCTATATCAAAAGGAAGTGTAAAGGTCGCCAAGTCAAACTGTTATTAAAATGCTTTGAAATTTTCGGGGCATCATAAAAACTCATTAGTGAGGACTAAAACCTGCCGACAGTATTCCTAAACTGATTCTTGTGGGTCCTCTTGTATAATGTTGGGAAATGAGTGTATTTAAGCTTCTCAAGTTGTTTAGACACTGGATTAAGTTTGGTTTCAAACAATATTTTCTAGGATTCTAGTAAAAAGTGGCAAGTTCTCCTAAAATAATATAGCTTCTGACAATTTTAACGCATAGTTTTGACTTACCTCACAGACCATAGATCGTCTACCTATTTGTATCTCCTGTCGGTTGACATATAAGTGATTCGCATTGTAGTTTACCTGATGGTGGGCTTTTAAGTGAATAGTAGTAGTCGTAAAATTTCGCGTTCACTTACGAATGAAGTTGTGCCTTCAAATAAAGCTTGTTCTCATTGAGTTTGGACTCAATCTCCTCACCTATGTTTATCTTAAAGTCGGGTGTTCAGATATATAGATACTTCTAATAATTCATTGTTGTGTTTTGATATTTGATTCACGTTTCTTTACTGAAGAGTATTTATGCTTTCTGTAGGATTCTGGTTTATCCGAAGCACCCGGTGGGTCTTCCAGTGATACTCAAGCAAATGTAGTGTTTTCAAATTCCGCATCAGCACTGCTTTCCAAATTTGAGTCCCTACTGTCCAATGGAAACAACCAAGGTTGTCAAAAAGATGGTGATCGGGTTTCTTGTAATGTTAGTTGTTCACGCAACTTTAAACCAAAGCAAGAACCAGCGGTTACTACCCAAGAAAACGATAAACTATCAACCCTTAACACTAAGCAATTGTTGAAACCTCTAGATTGTGAAGAGTCGACAGATTTATCGAACCACTCTGATGTAAGTTTGTCTAATGTCAAATAATCCTTAATTTTTGTTTTGAGTAACTGTCGGGTTAACTATTCGGAAAGAATGTTTCCTTACTTTTATACACTTGTTTAGTATTTGGAACTTTCTATATTCTCTTATCTACAGCGTTGGTAAAACACTGGGCTCTGGACTAAGAAATTACAAGTCCACTCTCCTCCATATACTTCAACTTGAGCAGTCATAGAATCACTAAACCTCATACAAAGTGCTGTGTAGGTAGTCCTGTACTTAATAAATGAGCTACACTGGCATCAATTTCTACTTTCATCCAGAGATAATCAATTTAAGCCAAATAACAAACTGAATAGCTTTATGTATAGTCTTTTTAAATTATATTGGAACCTTGAAATGCTGATTTTACGTTTAAATTTCGTATTTTTTTTTGTAATTTAGATTCATCTGTCTGAACTACAGAAATTGATTGAAGAATCAGAAAGATTTGATGAGATGGTTAAACGACTTGTATTAATAACAAGGAGAGCAGTAAGTCGTTTGGGTTGACATCGTTATGCTAATCAATCAGTTAGTCAGTCACATGTAACGCAGAACCTGGAACATGTATGCATCTATCCAGGTTGATACACTGTTAGCACAACGAGATACAATTGTCATGGCAAATCATAGAACAGATATAACAGTAGTAGTGGCAGTAGAAAAGATTGGGCATGTGGTTCGATAAGATATGGATTTGTGGGATGATTGTCTTTTATCATTATTTATTCCTTATTGCGTTCTGTACAATAAGGATTCAACTCTGAACAAAGTCATCTTCAATTGTGTTTGTATCTAAAGTAAAGTTACCCAGATGTTTAGTTCAGTAGATATTGATTTTGCATTATCTAGTTAAATAAAAAATTTCAAACGTATCACGCGACTAGTTTATTTCATAACCACTAGTGTAAGACTTGGTGAAGCTTCATATCCCATGTGTCTTAACAATGCAGTTGTGAGACCTAAAAATTTATAAAGCAAAATGTCATCAGTCGATGGATTCATTGAAAATTGGACTAAACCGTGTTATTAGATGTAGACTACCTGGTTGGGGTCCGCGTCATTATCGTAACCAGTAGTTAGAGGCTAAGTGGCATGGTTCAAGATCGCTTGGAATGGTTCAGGTGCATCCACTCTTCGTTTCTTCCCCAGATTCTATGCTTCTAAATTTCGCATACATTCCCTATTTCGTTAATTTGTATTTTCTTGAATCGTCTCTTTGATGCCTAATCTTTTTTATTATCATCACTGCTCTAGGATTTGCCCTAACAATTTCATCTCCCTATGCCAATGGGTATGACGATTTGAACCTATGTACATACGAACCAGGTTCCATGTCGCTACTGACTGGCTTTTATTCCACGAATTCGTTAGTTTTCGAGTCATATTTAATCTTCCCCGATATTTTCGATACGTTTATTATTCCTACTTTCCATCTTATTACTTTCACCTTATTGTGTTGATGCGGTGTAATAACTTGGATTGATCCATACTTGTGTCAGATTCTTGTTTGATTTTCGTTGATTGATATTCACTAATCTACCCATAATTCTCTTTTTAGCTAACTGTCTTGTTAGCATGTCATCACTATTTCCTTTTTGAGTTTTATCATATTTTCTCATAGCTAACTATACGGATAGGGTACGTATCTCACAATTATTTCTGAATCAAAATGCTGAAAATTCAGTAAAAGTAAATTTACATAGATTATTTTATTTATTGTACAATAATGTTCCAATCTCCAGTTTCAACTGGTTAAATTGATGATTATACCGATTAATTCAATCTATACCTATTCTTTATTCTTCTCTCTCTTTATATATATAATAACATTTTGAAATGCTAATATTGGTAAAAACGTGTGTATTTTATGTTAACATTTATTTTATTGGCTTCATTAGAATCTTGGTGAATCTACAAAGTTGCTGGTAGATATTTCAAAACGATTCTCTGAGCTTCAGATCAGTTTTAATTCACTGAAAGAAAGTTATGATGTAAGCTGTTGTAATATGTTCTGTCCATTCAAAACTGGTATTTCGATATGTTTGCTTTTATTTTTGTTTGTGAATAATATTTTACACTTTAAGAATATTATCAGAAGGGGTTTGTGGAGATTTTAGAAATTTTCACAGATTTAAATCATGAGTCAGTAGAGGCTAGACCACCATTGAAAACCTGGAAGCACTGGACGGCCGTTCCGTCCTAGTTTGAGACTCCTCAGCAGCGCGCATCCACGATCCCGCAACACGCGGGGCTCGGACCCAGGACCTACTGGCTTCGCGCGCGAGCACTTAACCACTGAGCCGGCATCCAATGGTGTTAATGTCTAACTTCAACCAATCCACGAAGTCGCGCCACCGTACACCATTGTCTTCAGTGAGCTGATATCTCACAACAGACCTGGTTGAACTCCACTGGTAACGGCTTCCCACTAGAACTCCAGGAGTATCTCTTGAAGTCAGTCACTAGTGAGCAGATGATTATTATCAGAAGGGGTTAGTGGAGATTTTAGAAATTTTCACAGATTTAAGAATAACTAAAATATGAATTAAATCAGGTTAAACACTTAATTTATGTGATTTTTAAGTACTCTAGAACTTTTGTACGTAAAAGCACATCATTCAGTTGTTTGAAACCACCTAATATTGTGGTACTTTTAACACTCGTTGTACACAACTATCTCACGCGTTGCTCATTCTTCCGTGGCAAATATCAAAAGTAATCTCAGATAAAAAGGAATATGCACATGTGTCCGACTAAAATCAATAATTCATCCGTGATCATGACCTATTATTTCTTGTACCAATATTATATTAAATATGTGTATACATGCTTTGATTTCTAAACAGATGTGCTACATTTTCTGCATAAAAATGTGTTTATTTTTCAGTCGCTTCATAGTGAGCCTCAACTCCCTCCTGAATTGCGTAAAGTTCAGGTAAGTGTATTGATTGTTTTCCTTGCAGTGTTTACTAGTGTTTTCAATGTTCAGTTCAGTTGCATGTTTTTCCATCATTTCTATTTTAATAAATGTACTATTGTGTTATTGTAAACTTCGTTCCTAGATTCACTTTTTTCTATTTTTATCCTGTTTAAAGCATGAATTCAATGCTTTATTTTGGCTTATATATGTACCTTATCAAAAATTATCATCTTACAATTTTAGCTTTCAAGTTTTCGTGAATTTCTCAACAGTCTTAGCCGTAATTTTGATTCAACCAAAGAGTGCTTTTACACAATTCATCATCTTGTCAAAGCTACTATTGAACAACAACTGGTAATAATTTAGCTTTTTTCGTTTTTGTGTATTTCTTGTTATCATGTATACTTTTATTATTATTTCATAACATTCAGCGTATTGTTATATTCATTTGACATACTCGCTTTGTTTTATCTACACAAAATGATATTACAGCCAAATACTTATGGCATGACCGTTTTATTTCTGAAGATTATGTTAACAGGCATTCCATTTTTCTAACATTAACTCTATAACATCTAACGCTTATTAGTCTTCATTTGCGAATGTAAACATTTGTTGCCATTTCAAAGTCAAAAACGAAACGCGGAATGAGCATTCCAACTCCTTAAACATTATTTCTATTTAAACATTTTAATAATATTATTAACTCTTGTATTATAACTGTGTCCTTATTCGCTATTATAGGAATATATTTGTTTTTGATCATTAGAGTATTTTCATGTAAAGCAACAGTTCACCTTTTGTAAGTGTTTTCTGTTCACCAATAAATTTGTACGTCCAACTTCTATGAATGATGAGGCTTTCACATAGAGCATTATAAGAAATCATCACATAACTAATACTTTATATCCATGTATTTTTGTTTATTTAGAAACTTAACGAACGATTTCAAGCATCTGTTTTTTATGTATGCGATTTAACTTTGTTGCTTATCAGTGCCAATTAAAGTACATATTATTTTGGATGTATTTTTACATACGGAATTCACAGATGTTTGATAGATTGAGTAAATATTCATGTAAACGATGAAACACACCTGCAACTTCCTTACTAACTCTTATCCATTAAAATAATAAACTGAAGATTATATACATCGTTTTTTGGTATTAGTTTATCGCCAAATCTCCACTCTCACACAAGCAGTATTCTTGTGTCATGTTGTTTTTCATAGATATTCAGTACAACGTAGAAATTTGTAAAATACAGAACTTACTCAAGATGTATTGTACGTTGTTTTTTGGGAAAGGTGATTTTCAGCTTACTGTTTTTAGGTTGTCTTTATTATCCAAGCATACACATAAGAGGTAGACTAAAAAGCAATCGATAAATACCCATATTATTCTCATCGTTCACTAGTTGAGATTTTTCATTTTTTGCAATTGTTTCATAAACAAGTGTCTTGCAAAGTTTCTAACCACTGTTATACATTGTTATTCTTAATGTATACTACAGAGAGGCTATAATCTGATTCAAGGAATAGCAAAGTTATATCCATCCGGCAGTACATTCGTTCTTTAAAATCTACTTTTTCTTGTTTTTTTTCTGAAGGCGAATGGAACACTGCAGGATGTAGATCATAGTGATGAAGAAAATAATTCAACTTTGCCTGTCAATCCAACTGGTTCTGTTACTGTAAAAGACAGTAATATAGAACTAAGTAAGACCTTTTCCCCTTATTTCCAAGTCATGTAAATACAGTGTAATACCGGTATTTAAATGGTATAACATGTATAGTACTTTTTTGTTATGATAATAATAAATATTCAGAATAATTTCTAGTAGTAATAAGTAAGTGTATTTTTTATGTTTTGTTTTGCCAGATACAAGCAAACAAATTAATGATGAACACATTGAAGATGGTGATCCTGAATTTTTAACTCAAAAGGCTTATTTAATAGCATTACAGCAGCGTACAGCTCAAGAAAAAGAAGAAATTGCAAAATTACTACAACAACGAGATGAACTAGCTGGACGTTTGGCATCACTTAAAGCAGGTAATCTTCTAGTCAACAAAATAGAAAGATCATTATTAATGTAAGGGACTTTCATAGTTTACATCACGAGCTGAAATCAGTTATACAACATTTAAAAACCAGGAAGCATTGGGTAGCTTTTTCGTCCTAATGTGGGGCTCCTCACTAGTGCACACCCCTCAGCCCACTGGGGATCTGACACAGAACCTTTAGGTCTTGCGACAAGGGATTGACTTTTAGACTACTAGGCGAGACTATAATTTATGGACGATCCTTGAACGAGTCTTAAGTGACCTTGAGAAATATTGGCCAATCAGAAGGCTGTTTAGAGTAAAAATATATACAAAACCAAAGAATTAAAGTGGATACACTTCTTTTACATGGTTCAAAAACTTGTCAAGGTTAGAAAGAGGTTCTAGAATCGTAATGCACATGGTAGAGGAACTCATCCATATGGCTGCATAATAGTTGACCTCTGGAGCCATAATAAAGTTGCGAAAACTCTTTCAGCCTCAATCACATAGCTTCAATATCGTTAGTGTGCACTCTGGTTGTTAGGTCCACAAAATGGCAACATGATGCACATAGCCCAGTCTATGTAGGCATTTGTAAACTCCACTCATCTTTGTATATTGTAGTACCCGGCTGCACATATTCCCGTATAATTGGTATTATCGTTGTTGCCTGTCTGTTTCTAACCCGTTGGAAGTGTCCCTTTTGAGATGACCTGTCGTATATTCCAAGGACTTGTGAGATATATTTATGGAAGTGCTACTTACCCAGTCTTCTTTAACAATACGTCCTCTGTTGAATTTTCGTTTTCTGACTACTGTTTCGTCTATTTCAACGATTCTCCCGACTCCTGAACGACTCGTGTAGCTCGTCATTTTGATTGAGTATATATCTCTACAATACTCATTCCACTGAACAGCTAAAGCTTCAGTAACATCTGCAAATGTTGCAGCCGGTGTTACTGGTGCTTTTATTATCCAGTTCTCAACAATTATCATAATTTGCCTTGGTCTCAATGTGGATCGAGCGAAAAAAGGTTCCTGTTCTAGCAGACTTCTTCCTGCAACATAAATAACGTCGAAGTACAACATCGTCACGGTAGTCTGCACAGGGTCCAGCAGTCATTTGATTACCGCAGTCACAAATAAAGGAACTTCTTAGTAATTCCATTTGTTGTAGCTGCTCAATTATCACGTCTTCTCGAAAATCCGCTGTAAACTGATCGTACGCGAACATCAGATGATAAAGTTGACGTCGCGACCTTGAAATCCTTGAAACGCCTGTGATTGGCTCATTCGTAAATTACAGTCTCGTCGACTACTGGGTCACCATCCTAACCTGACAATCAATTCAAGATATTACACAACCATTTTTCACTACCATTGGTGGGTTATCTATTGTTTTTCTGTTCAGAAAAAACCAAGTTACTTTAATTTTTATGATAATTAATTTCTTCCTTTTTTATTTGTCTTATCAATTTAGCTGCTAGTAGGGCATCATTTGATAATCGTGTTACTTCTGGCGACTCAGTCGAATCAACTCAAACTGATGAATTGGAAAATGGAAATGAACGGTAACATAAACATGTTCTCTTATATTGCAAGATTTAATTTTCCTTTTTACAATGTTTTTCAGTGCACTTTTTAGAACTATATGGGAAGTTGTTATATTAAATAATAATAATAGTAATAATAATAAATATTTAAAGCTTAAATCACACAACAAACTGACAATTAATTGTAAAAACTATATTTTTACTCCTAGTAATAGTGGATCGGTCAGTGTATCACCTGACATACTTTCTAGTTTGGAAGCTAAAAAACGTGAGTTGGATGAATTAAAGACTCAACTTGAACTTCTTCGCAAGGCTGAAGCTAAAATCGCTAAATTTACACCTGCTCTACAAGGTCCAAGAGATATACATAATTCAAACATTGCTGCTCTACCACAAGAGACGTTAGACAATAAGCGAGTCACTTCTGCTTCGCAGTCCATTCTTCCAGAAGTCAGTTCACCTCGGACAAGATTTGCAATTTATAAAGATGACTCTGATGATTTAGTAAATACAAAACCCGCTGGAAATGTATCATTATCTTCGGATTTATCAACCAAAGCTGATTCTGTGACTTTTCAGGTACCCATTTTCGGTATTTTCCTAAATTGTTATTATGTATTAGGTTCTCATTTAAAACAGGCAATGTTAAGATGATACCATGAATTATTTATTGTTAAGAACATTTCCGAATAATCCTTAATAGTAGCATGTTTATGACATCACCGAAATACGGTGTGAAGTTGAATAATTATTGTTACTAACTTGTACGTTTTTATGGGGCATAGTTTTCAGTCTCTTTACTAATTTGTATAGTGCCTCAACACACTAATTCTAAAAAATTTAGATTAAGTTTGTATTTGCTTTTTGGTTTGTATGACGAATACTTCATCTGAAGTTCTAATTCCAAGAAATATGATTGGAAGCTGTGTATTCTATGATTGTTAGTATATATATATATATATATATATATATATATATATATATATATATATATATATATATATATATCGTAAGAATTGAATTACTACTTACGTTTGCATACTTTACTAATTAAATCTGAAATGAGTTTAGTTTCCAAACTCGATTAATGTTTACAGCATATACATATAATATACTGCTAGACTTACAGAAACATGTAAGTGGTAACCTCGGGCTAGGTGAAAAATTTATTTATCACTAATATCCCACCCGAACCCGGATCTCGTTTACCGTGGACTTGAGATAGAATGTGATATATCTTTGTCCAGTAAATCAGCTTCAATGAAAACATGGTTACCGAAGGAAGTGCATCGGTCAATGAGGCCTCCTAAATTCGGGATTCCGAAATCTCAGAGGTTTTAGAGGAAACTACACTTTCACCCTATACTTCTATAAATTCGAAGTGATTTTCTGCGAACTTCGTATACCTTAGCCTTGCTTCAATTTAGATTTAATTAGTATAGTATACAAACGCAAGTAGTAATTCAATTCTTACGATATATATATATATATATATATATATATATATATATATATATATATATATATATATATATATATATATATATATATATATATATATATATATATATATGCTGTAAACATCAATCGAGTTTGGAAACTAAACTCCTCACAGTTTTGATCTTTTTTCTCCATAGTTAGTAGCAAAACAGCAGATTAATCCAACCACAGAGCGCGGGGACGGACCTTTATTTGTATTTGTTCAGTTTTTTAAGAAATGTTACTGTCCAGAACGATACACAATTTCATGTAGGACTATGGTTTGATCCAGTTAACCATTCTATTCAAGATATTCAAGCACCATTTTTATTTAAAAAATTGAAATGTATCCGAATTTCTGTAGGATTGAGCGTAAATGTTTTCAGTTTATTTTAGTAACGTTTTTATTTGTTTGTACAGCAACCAGAGGTGACCTGTATTGATAACACCGAACGTTTGTATGTTAATATGCGTGAGGCACGAATACAAATAGAAGAACAACGGAATCGATATGATCGGAGCACTTCAAATGGAATCAATAATACCAATTCTACCGCTCAAAAATCATTGCAGCATGTCAGTTGTAGCGGTGCTTCTGTCGCAACTAGTCAAGATAGAACAACTCTAGCAACTTGGGGTGGATCTTCACCTGTCCCTTCTTGTTCATCCGAAGCTTCTGAAGCAAGTGATGAAGGAGATGGAGTTAGTGTTTCTGACTCCCTACCTCTAAGTAAGTTTCTCTCTGTTAGGTCATGTTTGTTAGCTATAACACACCTAGGGATATGGTAGACTAGTCAATTTTAGGTGTAAATAGTTGTTTGTCTTCCCCAATCTTCATACTATTCTGCGTTACTACCACACTGAGTGTGGATACATTTACACGATCATGGGTGCCAGGTTGTTTTGCAATGAGTATCCTGGATCGTATAGTCGAATTGGGTGGGTCACTGCATTCCTTCTTGGTCCGAATTGTTGAAAATCCTCCTTATTACATGGAAGTACACTCTTTACGAGTGATGTTGGTTTGTTCAAATAACACTGGATTTCAAATTGAATGTGTACATGGATAAATAGTTTGTCCTTTTTATTTAAACAGGTTTGTTTCATTTTGGACTTTTAGTTTTTTACTTTTCCAAGTCTTAAAAATTATGCTGATGTTAACTTCTCTCTTTTTCCCTGAGATTTCCACAATTGTTCATATTTTCTGCATTTCCTGTCGATTTCTCACTGTGTCAGCTAATGGATTTGTGACAAATCTGAAGTTGTATTTCTGTTTATTTTAACAAGGAATGGCTCAGACTTGTTCACAGTTGTGTAGATTGCTTCAATTATTTATTATGTTCTATATTTTACGTCCATATATTCCTTCGTACATACCATTTTCATTCCATTTTCTCGAACCATACTTTCAGGTGTTTAATCTTACTGTGATTGCTATTGTGATTATTTCGACTCGTTTTCTGTTCATCTTGCTAGTTTTATCTCGCATGGCAAGTTGGGCTAACTCACATTTGTGCCTTCAGACTCCAACTTGATTATAACTAACTAGCTGATTGTTTCAATAAGATAGGTTATTTGTTTTCTTTTTTGCTACCTAATTAACACTTCTCATAATATGTACGCCATAATTAAAAAGGGTTATTACATTCTTAGAGATCATTCAATGTTTACGGCACTATTTTAGCTTGACACAAGCTAATAACATTAGTTCACAATAAATAATAACTACTAGTCCGATATATCTCACATTTTTTCATGTGAATGTTACCTGTATTTGTGTTGTATCACTTCGACATCTGAATTTTATATAAAAGGAGCAGAAATGTTGTTATAGGTTCGCTCAGTATTCATAGCGAAGAACTAATGAAAATATCTTTGACACCCATCTCTCGTCCGTTTGTAGAAGTGTAAGGGGAGAAAAGTATATATGTAGTTATATAATACGAAGTCAGCCGGATAAAGCCTGAGACAGATGTAAATGGTCCCAAGTTGCACACCGCATTGGCACGACGAGACGAATAGGAAAAACAATCGAAATCATTTAGTAGCAATCATAATGACTAAACATTATGAATATGGTTTCAAAAGATAGAGTGAAGCGATATATATATATATATATATATATATATATATATATATATATATATATATATATATATATATATATATGAAGTAATACTGTAATTCAGGCAAAACCAGTCAATCTTAAGTAGAAATGATGTGCCGTACTTAGTACAATGTGTGACTTATGTTTACAATAAACATATGTTGGTTTTTCATGAATGTTTTTATATCATACATTCTAAGTACTGTTAGAAGGATTTCTGAAACCATCAAAGTCATAGATAAGTAATACAATTTAAAAAATAACTAACCACTTATATGATAATTACCGAGTTTAATAGGAAGAGAAGATGCTTTAGGGTTCTTAATATTCGTTTATAATTATTTATATTGCTCTGTGGTTCATGTCATCTTGTAACGTTTAACTGTGATATATATACATTAAAATAGGTCAAAATCATAATGTTGTTGATAAATGATTATTGAGTAAAAATGAATAAATAAATAAAAGACCATATCCACAACCTAATGATCTATAGTTAGCCAGGATTTCATTGTTATATGTTTTTATATGATAGTTTGAAATGTTTGTTTTTCTTAGTTAAATTTAGTAATCAAACTGTTCGCGTAATCTAACTTTAAAAAATTGTTGATTGCACATCTATAAACTGTACTCCACTCACTCTTAATTCCTTTAGTGATAAATATATTCAACTATATACTCATATTTTCCATATTTACGTGAGAATTCTACTCTTGAAAATCAGATATTAATTTATATTTACCTGTATTTGTCAATTTAATTAACTGGCTCAAATATAAGTTATTTTTTTGTGGTCAAAATCAGTGTGAATTTAATTCTCATAGACAAAATGTACGAGTATGACGATATCTAAAGGTAAAGAAAAAAAACACAGGTTAATTTCATTGAGTTAAAAACTAATATCATGTACGAACCTTCACTGTATATTTTAGTTTAGCTTGTACAACATGCTATTATCATTCGAAATTTCAGATTATTTGTAATAACCATCAAATGTTAATGTCAAAGTTTTTCTTAAGTGGTGAACAATTAAGAAATTTCTCTTTGTCACTCTTTAGTAGTGACCTTTTTTAGAAGAGTAATAAACCTATTAGTAAGTTTTATTGTTTCTTTGTAATTTCCACAGGTACATGTCTTTCAGTGTCTGCAGTTAATAATGCTTCTAATGTTATTCGATCTGTTCCCAATGGGCATTTGAAAAGTGTACCCAGCTCTGTTGCAACCAGTTCCTTGGATATGCCTGGTGAACCATGTTCAGTTATTAAGAGAGCATCACGAAAATGTGAAGATATTCACAGAAATAATTTAGATAATGTTTATGTTTCTTCTACTGATGATGTTCCGTATAAATTATCACTTCCGCAGGTTGGTCGAAGTCCATCTCCTCCAACTCGTCACAAAAACAAATCAGGGGATACTCAAATAAAGGATGGTTTAAATAAATTGATTGATCAACGTTTACACTCACAACAAAATTCATTAGGTGAACACACTAATGCTTCTGCTAACCAGAATACTGGAGTTTTGGGTCATATAGTTGTTGCATCAAATTGTAATGACTTTGATGATGGTCGAATGTCAGATCTGTCTGGTGCCATAGCCAATGAACGTAAGTTATTTTGAAAATTTCTTTTCGATGATTTCACTAATATGCAATTTCCTTAGTTAATCATTGTCTGCTGGTAGTTATATGTTACCAAAACTACTTTAATCACAAAATTCTATTATCTATTTTATTCTAACCGAAACTGTATTATAGGTTTTCTTATACAACCCACAACCGTTATCACTTCATTGTCTCATCCAGATATTTGTAGGTTTGACTTAATTTGTTAAGAATGATCAGGAGTACTTGATTTATATGCCACTATTTAGCTGAGATTAATACAGACAACCATCTTGGCACCAGTTTTCAATTACCTTGCCAATAAAGTCTTTTTTAACTTATCTCATCATTTCGATGTTTTCTTCAGTTATCCGGTGGTCGTATTTTAAGTATGCCCCTTGAAATCTTCATAATCATTGTACTATTATATTCTAGCTTTTAACTATTGTCAATTCTTAGTTGTAAATTGACTTAGGAGTTTTATGATTTGAACTGCATTTAACGATAGCAAAATTTATCCATGATGAATTTACTATGCAAGCCTATACGAATTTTTATTTGCATTTGTATTGCATACATAATACATGTGATAACTGAAATTCTCATTCTAATTATTCTGGTTACTTTGTTTTCATTCTCATGAATAACTTTGAACTCATATCTCTACATACATTTTCCTTATAACTGAGAATTTTTATTTGTCGTACTGTGTATTTGTATTAATTCAGTGGAATATGTTAGTTTTAAGCATTTACCACTTCATTGCATTATTTTCGGCTTGGTTGTTTAGATTACTAATGGTGACTTAAATACCATTCAAATATTACTCATCACTCATGTTCCCATTATATGGTTAACGTACATCTTTAACGGTTATTCACTTCAATTTGGGATAGGAAATTCGAATTCATCAATACAAACAGCGTCTTATCACTTACGTGAAGATCATTTGTTTCAGAACTAGTACTATTTTCTACTTGTCAGAACTGACGGGTTTTTTTGAAGTCTTTTTTTACCACGATCTATAAAGGGTTATTAGCTTCACATATGAAAAGAAAAAGTAACCAGTTACCTTATAACTGAAGTTATTTTTTAATTCTAATGGTTATTTAATTAGTTTTCACTTTCTTAATCCATATTTTAGAGCAAAAGCGAAGTATTAAAATACATCCAGTCGTAATATCTTTACTAGTATTACTAAACACGTGCATATATTTAGAAAAAGTGTTGTTTCTATGTGTGTTTAAAGATTATTGAAATCAAACCGTCAATGTTATTACTTGTTTTTTATGTACTCGTTTCTCTGTTTACCAATAAAGTTGTAATTAATTTTTATTACTACATGAAATCTAAAAGGTTACTCTGAATAGGTCAAAGTTTTGGTAGTTTATATAGCTTTACGTTGGTTTATGTAATACCCTATAATTGTAATATGTGAGGGAGTGATTTTGACCATCAACATTGTATGTTTATCTTTCCAATAGGGATTCAACGTTTAGAGTCAAATGTAGCCCAGCTCTATCAAGTATGTCGTTGTTTGATGCTCGAAAACTCTCATTTGAATTCTGCAGTCACTCAGTTAATGTTACACAACTCATCTCATCAGCCTATTTCATCAATCACATCTTTGGAGCCGTCCATTTCAGCTGTTGGATCTATTGCATTTCATCAGTGTCAATGTAGTTCCTCTATTCCAAGTTATAACCAAATACTATTAACTGACTCGGGAGCATCTTACCAAGCAATGCTTTATAGACAAGAGCATCCATCAAAGAATTTACCTTGTTCCTTGAATGTATGTCCACGAAGTTCTATTGCATACGCTCCTAATAGTTTAAGAGATACTGACCAGCCGCTTACACAGAGTGGTGTCCATGAGGTTCCACAGATCCAGGTATGTTTAATTTCTGTCATTTTCTCAAATACATGTCCGTTATTCTGTTTATTATTGGAATATCAATTTTTGGTCCGTTTAAAAGGATTGTATTAATAATGTTTGTGATTTTTGTGACTACAAATGGAAATCGTCATTATTTTATGTGAAATAAAATAGCTACATTTCATTGAAATAAGCGTAAGTAAAAATGAAGGCAGATGCAGATATGTTTGCATAAAGGTTGTATATATCTTATTCATATAGTCAAAGGCTAGAGAATGCAACTATTTCATTGGTTATGTAACAAAATATATATGGGAACCCCTGTACAATCACACGTCCTAGTTTTTTTGTATATTACAATTAGTTTCTATAGTGGAAATGTATTATAATTGATGTATCTTGAGGATCGCTAACCAATATCGCGTGCTAAGCCATCAATCAAAATCCTTATCCTAATTTGGTCTATTTTGCATCTACTCTTTCTTCGATAGCCTAGTGTCCTCGGTTTAATCAATTACACGCCCGACCAACACTGTCGACCTTGACCCGATCCAGTTAAGTTTCTATCTGTCCGTTATTCGCAAGCTTCTCTCTATGCCCCTACCTTGAGTCCAAAAGTCGGCAACCAACTTCCACCATATTTATATTTCAGACAGATATGCTTTATATGCAGACATATCGAACCTCATCACACTATAAAGTGAGAAATAATAATTATACATAAACAGACCAAAAGTGTCTATGAATGGGGCAAGCGTAAGCAATTGTCTGGCAACATATTAGGAATAGTAAGTCGTATGATCATAGTTTATGGGTTAACCGAAATCTTATGATGAACAAAATACATAAACATGGTAATGTGGTTACTTACTAAATATACAAATAGAAAAGTAATTCATAAATTAGTTGTTGAAGTTACCATTTTATCAATCTTCGTTCTGATATGTCGATAGTAGTTTTGGGACTTATGTCGTAAATATGAGCCCCAACCCTCTTACTATGGTTTTGTCAACTGACTGTTGTCACTGTCCTTTATACATAAAATATATTTCTCGTAACCGAATCTGTGAGCAATTCAACGTGATTATTGTTGTCTATAAAGGATTGTAGATCCACTTTCCTCATCTTTGTTTCGAATTCTCGATTTGAACCACACTTCTTACACTATACTACTAATGAATTTTTGTTTCATCTATTAATCCTAATCTTTCCTCTTTAGCTGCTTATTAATCAAATTATGCAACAGCAATCTAATCTTACTCAATTGCAATTGGAGCTTCATCGTTTGACGCGATCACAGTCACAAATTAAGCCGTCACTTCTTCCTACTGATGGTAATTTCCATGGACCTTTATTGTCTCATCCGGAGAATACTGGGTTAAATTTTCCGGCTGTTACTGCTCATTTACTACAGGGGACTGCAGGATTTCCTCCGTCTGTCGAGTCGATCAGCCGTCAGGTTAATTTTACAGGGACCAATAATTCTTCTCAAGTGTTTGGAAATTCTGTCGTCTCACCCCAAACTTTGTCGGCTAACTGGTCTTTGAATACTGTTCCTAATGTTCACCAGTGTTCCAGAGATGCTACGTTTTCAAATATAGGTAATGGTCATTTTATATTTGTGTATTACTCATTGTTGTGTTATTCAATTTCTACTAACTGTGTAACGATAACGTTACTTAAGATCAGTCAAATCATGCCTTATCACGATTGCTCGATTGTTGTGGATTCATCAAATCCATATCGTTAAAGTTAGGTGCAAAGTTTTACGCAAACAGTGCTTATTTAATCAAGTTTTGGAATTGAATCGACTGATTAGACTCTAGGCTATGTGTTGTATGATATACCGCGATATTTAATTTTAAACGAAGGAGGAACAGTTTAAAAAAGTTAGAGTTGTTCAAACCATGACTTGACACCATCCCGTAAAAACACTTATTGTCATTCTGTCGGAGATGTTAGATCCCCAGAACTCACTTGGTAGACGTCTTATTTTTGCAATTTTATTTTGGAAATTCGAATTTCTTGTTTTCACATCCAAAGCGCCCATTTTCATCTTCATATCGTATTTCCCATTTGAGAGGACCTTAAATGTCATTAGTTCGTTGTCCCTTTCAATATGCTACTTTGTTACGTCTACCAAGGACATCTTTATGCTGTATATATATATATATATATATATATATATATATATATATATATATACGTTTCCCCTCTTTCGAACCTGGACTCCTCTCTAGTTAGAGGGGCTGGGACGCATCGGAGTAATTAACTTATTTGGTTATTGTGTCGCTGAGTCTTCGTTCCATTCTCAGATTTAGGTGAACTCTTAGTCTCTTCAAACATAGCACATTCTGAATATTAACAAAGCGTGGAAACTTTAAAGTAGGATCTTGTAGACTGTAGCAATTACTAGTTAATGTCATAGTTCAGAATTATTCACAATGGTACAGATCTCTTATTTTTCACTAAATTTCTAATGTATCGGTACTTTTCTTCTGTTTTCCTACTAAACTTATTTCTTTCTCATTTATGATTACATTTTTTGTTAACATTTTTCCTTGTATTTAACCTTGGAGTTTAACATCGAATGGTACAGAGATCAGATGATTGGCTGGTTCACTGAGTACACTAGGTTAATTTTGATAAGACCAAAGATGTTCACTAGCATATTAAAGTGGATTCGAACAAGTGGTAATATTGATTAAATCTAGTCACTTCGTTGTCGACCAATTATTCGATGAAAAATTTCTCATTTTCCAGCTACTTGAAGGTTAATAAAAAAACATGTTTGTGATGTCCCAATCAGTAGAAATTTGTATTTCTGGCATTTCGTGACCTAGTCTAAGTTACTTCTTTAGAGTAGATAACTATCACTTCCAATTTTGGCCTTGACACTTATAAACTACTTGAAGAGTTTGAAATATCATATATTTGATAGCTTTCGACCAGAGAAATTTTCGGTATCATTCACGTGTTTCACTCTTATCAAGATAGTTTTGAATAATTAGTTACAAGAAAGTTGTCGTTTCCTAAAGTAGTTTCGACAAGATTCAACGATATACTTGAATATATTACCTGATTCGTAGCCTGAAAAGTACAAAAGCGTTTAAACAGTGAACAGTTTAGGCCTTAACATGAAATACAATATCTTTTGGGTAATGTATTCTTATCGAACTTCGTCATTTATAATTGAGTTTCTAGTTAGGCATGACTACATTTCAAGATACAGTGAAGAAAGTGGTTCTCAGTAGTTGTTATTTCCTATCTTCCCTTAATTTTTAAAGTGAAAGACTTTTATGATGATTGTTTATTTGATGCACATGAGCAAATGCAGGTCAAGACAACCACTATAACGGAAACCTCAACATGCACAAGGGGAAAACCAAGATCTTCAAATACAACACGGAGAACAGAACACCAACGTGATTCGGTCTGGGCACCCCGGGCAGTATCATAACCCACACACAAGTTAAGTGACTTGTGTGGCGCATGTGTATTCGGTGCCTCTTTGTACCAATATTTATGTGTTCAAACAAATAAACCCGATCACACTTGATAGAGAAGCTCTGGAAGAAGAGGTGGAAACTCACGTACCTGAGAAGCATCATCGATTAACAAAAAGGATCGAATGCAATGTAAAGATAAAGGTTGGTGGCACAAGGACAGCATTCCTGCAGTTGAAGAAAATATAGAACTCTAAACAACTGTCAACCAACATCAAAGTCAAAATCCTCAGTACGAACGTTTAGCAGTCCTACTGTACGTACGGAGCTGAAACTTGCAGAACTACTACAACCATCATCAGAAAAGTACAAGTATCTATAAACAATTGTCTCTTCAAGATACTCAATGTCCGTCGGCCGGATGCCATCAGTAACAGCCTACTGTGGAATAGGACAAATCAGCTTCCAGTTAAAGTTAGGAAAAGACGCTGAAGGTGGATAGGACATACATTTAGAAAATTCTTAAACTGCATCACGAGGCAAGCGCTAGTTTGGAATCCTGAAGGGAAACGGAAAAGAGGAAGACCAAAGAACACACTGCGTCGGGAATTGGGAGCTGACATTAGAAGAATGAATAGGAACTGGAAAGGACTGTCCAGGACAGAGTTTGATAGTTAATGCTAGTGGGCGGCCTATGCTCTTCCACGAAGGGTAACAGATGTAATATTGTGTAATATAGACTTATTGATATTTATCATGTTTGTTACTCATATATAATATTGAGATTTCATCTACTTAACTAGTTTTTGTGAATTTAATTTTATATGTAGGTCAAAGACCATCTGTACAAACTGCATCTATTCCGAGCTCCGTTTTACTAACTGATCCCAGTGTGAATCTTGCATCGCCTCATGGTTCTTCTGTTGGTCAAAACAACATTGGTAAGTCTCCATCTGATTGCCAATATAGTATCCTAAACTACTCACACTTTTATGCAGTTGTCATACATTGTGAAGGATTAGTATCAGATTTGAATTACCCTTGGGTTTTTTTACTTTCTGTGCATTATGGAAATCATTAGCTTCCATTTAAACAAGTATTATTATTGTGTGGCTAAACTCAAACCCTTTCAATTGAAATGAGGTTTAAAAACTCATGACTTGTTGATTGAATACTTAAGTCATTGAGTTGTGTAGTGAACGAACACTCAGATGAGGAAGACCAGTTAATTGTTTAACGCAAAATTACAGAGTGCTTTCGTAAAATATGAAAAGCATACATTAAATGCATAATTTGCACGTCTTCCATCAGTTTTTCTGATTCTTTCAATTCTGTTGCTGTTACATTTAATTTCTGTTTTCTTCAGTTAAATATCCGCAATCTCCTACTGGCACACATTCCACTTCCGATCGGTGTTGCATACTACTTATATCTGTTAACATAAGTAGCTTATACGACAGTCGTAGTTATCTTGAAGAGATTTTTTGTAGCACAAATATGTTAGATAATTATAAACTAGTACAATAATTAATCGAGAATTCCCTATATGTATAAATTTTTTCAACTGATAACCTCAATTCATTCGACTGATTTCAATGCAGATTTAATACTTAAATAGTTTTTATTCTTACTTACACTGATATTTGTTACTAAAAGCTAGAAATTACAAATAATATCATGGTGATAAACTCTAGGAAATCTATCTACTAGTTAATTTTGTTTCACATAGACTTAATGTTCATAATGTTAACTAAACCTGAACTTGATAAATTCTAATTTTTTGGATGTTCTCAAAACCAATAGTGTGTACTTATTAGAACATATTGCCATGGATCCAATTGAAGACTTTACCTTTAAAGTTATGTATAATTTCATTTATAAATCTACTGGAGCGATATTTGAATATTCGAATAAACAACAAATAGGTTTTTAACAGCTCATTTTATCTATAAGGTTTGTGGAGCGTAAATCCATTGTTTCTAAACAGTTAAGAGAGGGCGTGTTTGAAAGTTTATGGTATTCAGCTCCTTTGATTCACTGAAGTTCACTTCTCTCCCCCTTCCTTTACGGTCTATCGTGGTATGTTGGTCCCGCTTCAAATTCAATACTTGTTTCGCTTTATATATATATATATATAGTACAATGTATGACGGACTTTTTTGATGAACCCCGTTTTTTCTGTATGTTTCAGGTTTCAATAGACATATCTAACGATGAATCAGAAAATATCTCACATTATAACGTTTGATCTCACCTAATAATCAATTTTAACAATTAATTTTATTGTTGCATTTAGTTTCACCATTTTCGACTTTCGTTTACTTTATTTTTCTTAAGAATGTAATGTGTTTCTTTTTAATATTGAACAATGTGTTTAGATCAGTTGTGTTTCCTTCTTATCCCTTATTCTATATCCAACACTGACGGCTATTTCACTCAACCAAATAAATCTCCCTTTAGTGCTCATCAAAAAATTCTGTTTATGAAATAAGTTCTATCTTATTGTAGTTTTAATTTATTAACATCCTTTTGTTTTCATATTCCCAACCAAAAAAGACAAACAAATAAATTAGTTGAAAATTAGTTCCTATGCATTATTATTACAGATCATCTGATATATTGTTTCTTATCTTCAATCTTGTCAACACTCAATGCATTAAAATAAAGATGAAATGTAACTTTTTGTTCAGCCATCTTGTTTGTTTTTAGTATTCTATATCAATAAATTGTTTTAAGTAGTCAAAGCTCACTTTAGTTCGACCTATCTGTATAAAGAAAAACTTCGATACTAAATAATAAGTCACAGGCTTGAACCTCACTCTTTGTAAGTTAGTTTGAGCAGGTAGTCATTATCTGAAAGCTTATATCATAAGTTTACTGTATTATCAAGTACTTCATACCTTACTTGATCATTGTAAAGCATTATCAGATAAGTTATTGTTTTGTGTGAATATATTCCAAATTGTATATTCAATCTCCATAATTCTAACTTCTATTTGGTGTTCCAGAACCAATCTAGTCAAAACCTAATGTTTTGCATATTTACGTAATATTATGGATAAATTAACTATAAGAAAGCATGTTTAAATGCATATGTGTCTGTGCTGTAACATGTTTGTCCGGGATGTCACATATCTTGTCGCAACATAAATAAATTAAACTGAGGGAGATGAAAGGAAAACGAAATAATAATAATAATATATGTAGGTTAAAGTAAAGAGGATTTCCGCGCACATATCGTTTACAGCTCATTTTAAATTATGTTTAATTATAAATATTACCACTGTGTGGAGATCTCATCATTGAAGTTTCTCCCAGTCCCTTGGTCATATCAATAGTTCACATTATTTTTGGCTCGGATTTTCTCAAAACTGAATTCAAATATTTGCTACGTCATCAGTTTTATCGTGCATGAATGATACTTCAATGGTACATGTATTTAAATACTTCCAATGGAAATATCTTTAGCTACGTAATAAAACATGGCGTACTTCTACTCTGTGTACCGCAATTTTGACAAACAGTCGGATAACATACTTTGATGATCTACGATGGGTTCCGTTAACATCCGTACGTGCAACTATTTTTCTAGTTTTATTTTGCTTAAAATATGTTATGTTTTGTCAGAAGCAATATTGACCATATGCAAAGTAAAGTACTATTTCAATGGAATTCAACAATCTCTACAAGCCCATACTTAAAAGTAAATAATGTTACTTCTTGTTTAGTACCAGTAAAGTACTGAATGCTTTGATAAAACTATACTTTAGCAACGAACCAATCAAGTTCCAGTTAGTGATTCTGATTTGTACATAAAAGTCGAAATGCAATGACAGTTTGTATTCCTTAAAGAGTAGTAGAAGTAGAAGTTGGCTTTATTTAATGCTCAAATATTTGAAATCGACAAATAAATAGTCTACTCTATTACCGTGCAATGAATATGACATGTTATGAAAGTTAAGTTACGAAATACTTTTGCTTCTTCGGATGCTGATTGTGTCTGAAACTTAAGTTATTATGAATTCATTCTTTTTCTGTTGTTCAAAGTAAGCTTTTAAGTATATCATCTCATGAACCAACTCAGTGAATAATAGACACTTTCGTGTAGTACAAATTACTTGAAGCAGTCAGAAATTCTATTAACATAGTTTTTTGATGTATTTTTACGTAATTTTGTAGAACTTTCAGGTAGTATGCACACATATATTGTGAAAAATATTTTTTTACAAGCATGATGGGCCTATCTTTGACCTTTAAAACACTTAAGATAAAAATTGTCCTCTTAAATTATGATTTTTTTATGTAGAAGCAGTCGATCTTCGGATTCAGAAGATAAATTGTAAATCCTTAAAAAATTAATAAACACTGTAAAGCTACCACATACTTTTAAGATTCACCAATTTTGTAGCGATGAATTCTTGATTTTCGAAGCCTTTTCACTCATAGGTTAAAATGAGTATTCTGAGGTCATTTTTTGGAGTCGCTAGAAGTAATCGTTCTAACAGTATTTTTGATATACAAATACTATGGTATTGGAATTTGAAACATGTTTAGGAATTCATGAATTGTCTAAAAGATCTATTAGTTACGTAATATTGCTGTTCAATAAACTAAATGATTTTGTATTTCATAGGCAGAAGTATAATTCTCAAGTTACCGAATTTCATGTTTCTAGAAGTATCTGGTTGCTTCATAATATCAACTGCTTAATTTATATGCAATGACTCATTGAACCCTGTGGTATATTGTCGCTCAAAATAATGTATATAAATCTATCCTTAGTCTGTTTACTTTCGATAATTGTGTTGTGGTTAAAATGAAGTACCATTAAAATGTTAGAAGATAAAAACAAACTATACTATTTTCAATGAAGAATTCGATCATTTGTTAGATATATAGTCTCTAATTACTGTGATGTTTTTAAATATATCTTGATATATTTATGTACAATACAGAAGTGTCAGTACTAAGCAGTGCCAAAAACTGTTACGCAAAATAAGACAATCATATTGTGAAGAGATAGAAAACGAAGAAATCATGTGAGTAAGAAGAGCATTTATTTAGAGATATTTCTATCAAGATGAACTTCGTCCTGTTGAAATTTGAATCTCACTTTTGCTCTGTTGAGTTGTATGTCCAACCTTTCACAACCAAAATGAGGCAGATTGAGATAAACCAAATAGACTTTTATTATGTATAGATTTATTTCAACTCTCGCACTGCCACCAGCACTCGGATGTCCAAATATCTTTACTATTCTCAGCTATATTACATAAGATGTGTAGGCTCCTGCCAATCTCGCAGAAACACTGCGTCTGGGTAATGTCAAGTATGTACAATGTTACATGTTAATTACTATTAAGAATTCTCATCTATCCGTCGCAAAATTGATAAGTACAATTCGAGTAGCTCATGCCATCGCAGAGGAATAATTTTAATTAGATCTTTTCCCGGATAATTTATCCACACCATGTACTTTCTTAACTGCTTCCTGAATGTCATCAGTGGCAGAACTGGACTGGTGATATTGAGTAACCGTCTAATCAAAATGCTAGACTGAATCAATAGAGAATGGTAGTTACATGTCTTTTCTTTATATGAAATGTTTTTTCACAAAACGTTTAAAATGTTAATCAGCTTCTCAGAAATACTCCATCAGACTCCTGTCCAATAAAGGGATGCAGACCCTGATATCAAGAAATAGTAATGTTATCTTGATATGACTGTACATTACATTGGGTCAATTATATATCGGCCAAATAATATGACCACGCAGCTGACCAAGATATGGCTTTCTTCTCTAAAGGCTGAGACGTCTCGCTGGTTGGAAGACGTATCTTCATTTTCTAATGGACTAAGGTATGTGTGTATACATGAATAGGTGTAGAGTTATTACTCTATTCGGCTGGCCAATAAAAGTCCTCATTAAATTAGCCGGTTGAGAACGAGGTTAGAATACTTGTTTATCAGTAGCAGAGTTGAACAACACTACTGGGAGTTTTCAAGGACTTTAGCAGAGGGTGAAGATATGTTCAGTACACCCTCGGGATGAGTGAGAACAGTGTTACATCTTGTGAGTCAGCTCATGAGTTTCGCACAACCTGTGGAGATATATCGGGATTCAATACTTGAGAAGCAATTGGAAACATATTTTTCCTCAGTAGCTATCACATTATTTACGTGGGTCCTTTTTAAAGATGGATACTATAATCACTTCATTCGATGGTAACCGAACACTTTATTTACTAAATCTAAACAAACAGACCAGTTTTATGACTAGAAATACGTCTGTATCCTTGAAAAGGGCCAGATCTAAGTTCTTTCAGCCAGATAACTTATGATGCTTCAAAATTTTAAGTTCCTTACGGACCTTTACCTCGTTGGTTGATTTGTGGTTACATTCCCAATAGCATAAGATATTTCGACAACATCGCTTAATAAATGGAATGGTTAAACTGTCGAGTAAAGTGATTTGACCAGACCTCAAGATGCTTTAGACGATTATCAACTTGCATGTCATCGAGCTTATGGTTTGCTTCACTGATCCAAGTTTTCTTCATTTAAGTGGTTTGGGCAACTTTGAGTAGTTATTAAATATATTTGATGTTTTCAACTTCCTGGAGCATTCTAATGATTGGGTTTAGCGGGTTTTTGGAAGTCCTGCTATATGACTTGTAAATCCTGTCTTGATAAAGATGCTGGTTCAGTATTACTGGACATGGATGATCACATTATGGTGATGTAGGAAGATTACTGTGAATGCCTATATGTAACGAAATAACTTATATGCAAAAACAAACGTGACGTAAATAGTCCATCAAAGCCATCAGTAAGGATATTTATGTCTATCTTTAAAGCAAAAGTTTAATGGTACAGGGACTTCAATACTTACACTTCATGCTTTTAAGAGTGTCGTTCAACTCTATCTTAAGAACGAGCTATATGTAGTTTATCCATTTGCACCATATGATGAGCTTATTAGGTAGGCACAATGTAAAATTTGTATTTTAATCCATTGATTTAATCAAAGACAATTATATGAAAAACACTAGTGATATAAATAGTTGTAAATTCATTACTTATAGATTTGTTACTACTAGAAACAATTGTTATATTTTTACAAAATGGTGAGGGAGGAATTCAAATTCACGGCGAAAAATTCCATTGACCTTATTTCAATATGTAATATCAAAGTACAATTTAACTTGACAATGAATAATTCAAATAGTTCCAATAACATGTACTTTTTTATCACTGGTTATAAACACCTTTATAGCCTAACTACTTAACTTTATCCATGAATGATGTCATTGAATATACACTGATCAAATGAGAACTGTAATAACTCTTTCTAAAAATTGTGTGAATATATATTTATTGCCCAATTTTTGTGGTGTTTATGAGTTGGTCGAAATTCCCTAATAATCTTGGAAACAATATTCTTTCTTTTTCTAGATATGATTGTAATCTCAAGCACGATATAATATTGATGACTTACATGGAGAGTACAATACACTCATTTTTTTAGTTTCATAATATTTGAGTGAAAGCAAACACTAGTCAAGTGTATAACGCGTAACTGACCATATATATAGCTTTAATCGTTGTTTTATGAATCAAAATATTTTTAAACTTTAGTACAAGCATGTTAGTGATGAGGATCTCAAAGTAGAACCGGTTTTGTTATGACTAGTCGCAAATTGTTATGTTGGAATCGCTTGTAAACTGAGGAACTGCTGCAATTCTCACGATGCAAAAGTACGAACACAATGACTGGTAAAAGTGGAGATCTATTAACCTCAGAACACGACGACGACCCTAGTTGAAAATACACTCATTTGTATATTGATTTGTGTACCTGTTTTTTGATATTCATTAGGATGAAATCACATATGAAAAATGGTCAGTTATAACAAATTGCATGCTGAGGATAGTCTATGTTAATTTAGTACAAGAATATCGTATCTTTAACAAGTATCAC